CACTTTATTTCTCTTTTCAAGCCGTCCGCTGCACTCCTGAGCGGCGTTAAAATGTCGGAAATGTGTCTAAATTGCGCCCGCTTGTTGTGTAACTCCTGCAGAAGAACTCTCTTGAGCCATGTTACGGAACTGCTGATCCGCAATGTTTTTCACCTCGAACTTGGGCCGAGGAGAGGGCCGCCATGAATATTTGATTAGTATGTTTTCTGTGGGTCGGGACCCTTAATTCAGCGGCTGTTTTAATTACCTGTTTAGTTAAGCCAAAGACATTTTTGTTGTTGCAGATTTTTTTTTTTTTTTAAACATCCAAATGGTGATTTATGGTCAAAGGCAGAAAAAAAAAACATGTTCAGGAGAGTTTAGTTAAAAATATAAATACATTTATGCAGGTCATTGATGGTGTAGTGGTTCTCCTCTGTGGGTTCTGTTTCCACTCCATGATGGTGTGAATATGAGAGTGAATGGTTGGCCCGTCTCTCTAAGTGCTCTGTGACTGACTGGCAACCAGTCCGCGGTCTTGTCCACCGTTCGCCCAAAGTCAGCTGGGATACGTTTCTCCTCCCCGTGACCTCGAACAGGAAAAGCGATTTACAAAATTTGACTTTCCACTCTGTAGAAGACTTCCAAAGTCATGAATGTTATCTCTGCTAAAGAGGCTGTTGTTTGTCGCCTCACAGAGAGGAGAACAAAAATTAAATATTTAGCAACATAAAAACAACAACGCAGCATTGGAGAGTGTTTTTTTCCACCTTTAAATTGTTGTTTTTGTATAGTTTGTTTTGATAAGACTTCTAATGAGTGCAATTTTGTCAGCCAGAGACCCAAAGCGCATTCAACTCACCAGATTAGAAAGTCTTTCCATTTCCCACTGGAACTGACCATTTTGTGTGTACGTGTGTGTGTGTGTGTGTGTGTGTGTGTGTGTGTGTGTGTGTGTGTGTGTTTCCAACGTGGAGCTGCAGTCAATAATGGTATTCTGGTCACAGTCATTTTAAATCTATTTCTACCACAGAGAAAGCACATTTCACTAAGTCTGCCAGTATGGGACAATCGGATGTTCAGTTTGGAGAAACATCATGGATTGCTTTTAGCTGCTGGTGTTGACTCTGATGGAATCCAGGCGACAAAAAAAAAAAAAAAAAAGAACATCTTCTCATTTGTTGCTGTTCCGTTGGAGGTATTCAGCTGCAGGACAATTTACGAGGCAGTTTACATTTTGCAGAATGTTTGGTTTCCTCAAGAGATTTACTGACCGTGCTCCGGACGAAGCTCTGTTTTGCTAATATTTACGTGTTAGCTTCCGCACCGTTTTGCACCAAACGACAGCGCGGTTAGTGTGATTCCTTCTGAAACCAATTGCATACTTTGAGCACTCCTCTCTGTATTATTCTGCCCGAATTTCAGTGTGTGGCCCGCCCCCCCCCCCCAATCCACTGTACTCTGTGAACAATAAACATCACTTTGTCAAAAGGCAGTGCGACGCACGGACCGAAAAGCAATTATTTTACAGAGTGCGACATCGTAAAAATCAAAAGTAGAAATATAAATAATCCCCACGAGCAGTGAAAAACGAATAATGAACGAATTGCTGAACAAAGAATGACAACCGTCATCCCAAACATTGCTATGCATCTGCTACTTGTGCACGAGAAAGCCTCCCCCCCCCCCCTTTCTGTCTGAGATGCAGCAGGCTATTAACTCCACCTCCGGCCTGATGTGCGACGCTCGGAGCCACCGTGCGAGTGCGGTTTCTCCCTAATGTTGATCAAATATGACCATCTAACAGTCGGCCGCAGTGTTCAAATTGCAATCAGACACCGTGGCCTGGTGGATGTGCGGCCCGCCGTGTTAACTGGCCTCCCTACGCAACTTGCACCGTACGTCGACTTCAAAAGGCAAATTCTTCTTGAGCATACATTAAAAAAAAAAAAAAAAAAGATGAAGTTGAAAGCGCAGTGCGAAGGATGTGCATCGCCAGCTCGCGCGAGCGCTGCGAGGAAGCGGCGGCTGTTGCACAAGCGAGCCGCATCATTAGTTGCTGTCGGACGAGATGAGAGTGGCCGCAAGAAGAGTCGTGGGCAAACGGAGCCATCGCTTTTCAGAGCAGTTGTTTCCTTCCACGTGTTTGAACCCTCCTCTTCTGCCAGCATGTGCCTTTCCGCACCGTTCTGAAGACATCCGCGGGGTCCTCGGTTTTACGAGTTCTTTTCGTATGGCGGTGATGTGTTCCGAATGTGTATGAAAGTCTGAGCGTAGTACCCGAGTTCGTCATAATTGCAGTCAATATTTGTCCGACATACGCTTCTAGGCCATGAATATAAAACAATCCAATGAAAAATAGGCAGCACAGTGGTAACTATGCGTGTGCCCTTATGCATTTCAGTGACATTTTTTTTGAACCCGCAAATGAATTCTTTGGGTTCAGTACCATTTTTGTCATCGCAAAATGTTTCATGTCAGGATTGTCCAGAATTACAGCACTCTTAGTGAGGACTTAAGTCCGGTTTGCTTTGAAACATATCCATATGTTTGTATTATGCTGCCCTCAGGTAGTCAAGGTGCACACAACCAAAGGAGGGGCGCGCTGTTCATTGAATTGTGCCCCCAAAAAACTTAATTTCTTTACATTCTCTTTAACTGTTGTTATTGTATGTTTTTTTTTATAAAGTACAATATTAAAGAATGCTATTCTTAATTTAAAAAAATGCATTACGGACATTTTCATTGGGTTTTTCCAAGAGTCGAGAATCGATGATTGGCCTTTCCGTTCACTTCAATGTGGGGAAAGACGATTTGGGATCAAAGTGTGGTCACTGAACAAATTAAACTTGCATCTGAAGGCTGACCTTTCTTATGCAAATGAGCCACTGCTCAACCAGCCTGGCTTGACTGCGCAACGTGCCAATGTGAGTATGGCTTTGCGTTACCATGACGACTACTGAGCATGGCAGAAACTTGGTTGCTTGGGAAATCATTAGAACCATTTCATCACCTTCCTCAAATAATGGCCTGAGTAAATTTTTCTTTCTTTTTTTTCCCACAAACACCTGACCCAAATGCTGATTACAGTGGTGCAACGAGAGCAAATTTGAATGAGAAATGACTTTGTTAGCTTGCAAACAGTGTGCAGAGACTAGTTTGCGTACCAGTGAAGCACACATCTGTTTCTGACTGTTCTTCATTTGCTACCTTTATGTTTATGGCCTAGATACGATGTCTTTGTGTGGTCCGGCTGTCACGTGTGAATGGAAAAAAAAAAAAGAAAAGAAATGGTGGCCATATTACGGGTGCACACGTGAAAAAACAAGACAACCGTTTTTCCAATATCCAATCTTTATATGCAGCTAAGCTCAGTAGCAACTACACTTGGGCAACTTTAGCATACAGATAAAACAGTCCATCAAACTTTGAGCGAAAGAAATAGCCTGACTGCAAAGTACCTGACGACTCTTATCAATAAAATTCAGCACAAACATCAGATTTAACTGGACATTGAAAAATAGCTTTCCTTCCTTTTTCAATATAAGACTTTTTTTTTTTTTTGTCTTGCTTTCACAAGCTTGTCTCATTGTAATTTATGACTCAACATTTTCTCAGGCATGTACAGTTTAGTGGATATAAAAATGTCTACGACCTCCAACCCCGATGCCAGGTTTTTGTGATTTTGAAAAAAAATGTGACAAATATTTTCACAACCTGTTATTGAATTTTTATAACTCCTTTTGAGAGGTGGAGTAAACAGTTGAAACGTGGCGGTGCAAGTGTGTCTTATAACATTTTCACATGTGTTTGAGAGATTTTGTTGTGGTCCAGTGAAACAAAGAATGAACTTTTTGCCCAAAATTTCAAAGGGTTCGTTCGACACAAAACACTACCTAACCTGAAATTCTAGGGGCACACACTGTAACTGGACTTGCGATGTAAATATTCACGTTTTCACAAGTTCTCAATTCATTACGGAGAAGTCGGCTGAAATGTGGAGCAGAAGTTAGTCAACAGCAAAAAAACATGCACAGACAAAAAAAATGCAATTTCACTGGTCACACATGCATGAGTAGATGAAAAATCTACTTGCACCGTTCCAAGTTTTAGTGGCACTCTGGAGACGTGCGCTGCTCATCACCACCCCCGCCCCTCCACACCCCCCAAAATAAAAAATAAAAAATACGCGTGTTGGTGGAAGCATCATAATTTCCAGCCATTTTTCTTCAGTGACAAGACGGGATCGAAGCAATTATGAACGGGTCAAAACAGCAGTCAGTGTTGCACAAAGACTTCATACTTAAAAAAAACCCATAACATAATATATATATATATATATACGGAGAGGCACTTGAGATGGTGACGGACGGGTGTGTAGTGACACATTTTTACCATCTTTGTAACTCATTTGCTATACAGATTAGACATAGGTCTCATAAGTGGCAGAAAATGTTTTGATATGATTTTTCTGGTGCTTTTTTTTTTTTTACGTCACAAAGCTTTGCCATTGGAGCAGGGGTGTGCAGACTTTTTATATCCACTGTAAACACAAACACACACAGTGTTGTTGATTGTCTCGATGAATACATTAAAGCACTCACACGTCGGGCTGTGGCGTTCTAAGCAGACATCTGATTTAATCTCATTCCTGTATACATTCTTTGTCATCATTCCTTTACACAGACACATTTAAACGCAGATAATGAAGGCCTTACATAAGTTAACAAATCCAATTTCAAAGTCAACACACAGTCATCGTAGTTTGACAGAACTGCAGATACCATTTTGGCTGAGATCAAGAAAGCAAGGTGTTCTTTTTGTTTTTTTTTTTTCCTCCATTTTTTTTTTTTCATTAAATACATCGAGACAGATATTCACATGTGCAAGTGGATGCGTGGTGTACCGCCATGGTGGTCAACAGCAACGTCTCAAATGAGCAAAGAACCATTAACAATGCTTGACTGTCTCTTGTCAAACCGCACTGGGGCACCTTAAATGAAACGTTTTTTTTTTTGTTTTTTTTTTGTTTTTTTTCATGATCACGGATACTATACCAACACTTAGAACACTGAGTAGGTTTTCTAGATTACAGTTGACAATAAACAGGCTGTAATCATCATCCTTGGGGGGCCCCCCTCGAGTCGACAACCCAAAGACAAGAAAAACAAGACTGAGAGCCGAAATGCGTTTCTTTCAAAACCTTCCCGTCGACCGTTTTCTCTTTATCAGTCATTGATCGTCTGGCTCCCTCCTTTGCCGAGACGTCTTTTGCGGGAGGGAGCTGGCCCTCATGCCAACAAGGGTCCTTTATTTTTTTTTGTAAAGCCACGTGTCCCATCCGTGTGGCCCGTGGTCATATGACAACGAATGGAACGTCAAGCACTTCGACTCGTTTGTTGTTCTTCTTCTTCTTGTTTTCTTTATATTTGTTGCACACTCCCGTTCAGTTTTTTTTTTTTTTTTTTGTTTTTTTTCCATGTCAAATGTCCAGCGTTGCCGCCTTCTTAATATCAGTCAGAGAAATAACACCTTCTGCTTTTGGGATCAGCTTGTGGGAGGGTGACCTCTTTTCCCCCTCCTGGCACTTCTATAAGGCATGTCGAGCCCAGAGCAAAGCCAAAGCCAGGCCAGAAAGCAGAGCCCAGACGTTGGCATGCACACAGGCGCAGTGATCCCCTGGCAGGCCCTGAGGTTTGCCGGGCCCGCCATCTCTCGGTTCGGGATACTGAGCACACGGAGGGACACACACACACACACAAACACACACAGAGAAAGATGAAAAGAGTTAGACATGTAAAGGTTAGACGTGACTCACACACTCGGTCTCATGTTGTGGCATTTGATTCGGGGCGCAGGTGACACTGGGCCGCCGTCGGAGCAGAAGAAGGAAAATGATGAGTCAGAAAGTCCCAAAATCTGCAACGCACGGGAGACTCAATTTGGCAGGAAGGTGAAATCTTCGCTGGAGCAAATGTGTTGATTTGCAGCCCGCGTCACTTTTGTGTGTCGCCTCTTTCAGGTCGGGCCAACCTGTTTCCTCAAGCTATCATTACGGAGTTTATTTACAAGGGAAAAACACACTGGCGAGCAGAGCTCGTGAAGCTAGCCGCGATTCGCTTCAATGTTTCATTCGGCATAAATTACCGCGGGAAGAGGTCAGAACGACATAGTTAAAAGGCAACTCGTCCTACGTGGTTTGATGGGGGCGGGGGGCGACATACGATGCTCACAGAACTTTTTGCATAGTGAGCAAAATGAGAGAAATGCGCCACAATGGTCGCATTATAGCAAAGAGCAATGGGACCACATCAGTCCAGATATTAAAATGCCCGGCCTCTAGAGTTGCGATATTATTGCTAAACAGAACAATATCCTTATGTTTTTGTTTTTTTTTCCAGACCAATTGTTGGCATTTTGAGAACTTTTCCAATTTCCTAGCCTTGTCGTAATACAAAAGCGAAACAGTTTGCCTCCAAGTTCAAATAGTCACACTCAATTTGCAAGCGGCATCATTTTCAGTGCATCGCAGCAGTACAGAAACGCATCATAAGGAACATGAAACATTTTGTACTGCGGCGTGGCCTCAACTCATCTCCCCCAATGTAACCTTTGCAGAAATTGCACTTCATGCCATTTTACCATACATTGATAGAAGGAAAAAAACAAAAACAAACGTTATCTCCCTGCAACTCATGGAATGAGGTATAAGGAGAATCTAAATAATGAGAAAATTGTGTTGAATTATCATTGCAGGCGGAGGACATTTTTCTTTCCAGGAAAAGATAGAGAGCCCGCCACAACAAATAAATGCTTAACCAAAGGCTGCCAAAAATGAAGAGGGTGGAAAAAACAACAACAAAAAAAAAAAAGCCATGAGTAGCTTTGACAATGCACCAGGCACATCTGCAACTAAAAGCCAATTAATTAGCAGGGGCAGCGATGTGTGTCAGCAGCCTGTTGACATGAGTCCAGATCGGTGGTTGCAGCCAATAGCCACACATGCGCCGCCGAGGCCTTTGAGAAGGCGTAAACACACCCACGCATTTAGACAGCGTGACCGAGCAGGCCACATCCAAACGCACTTGTTTATTTAAGCTCTCCCACCGACACGCACAAGGCCGCAGTTTGCCAACTTTTGCCAGGCCACAAATAGTTGACAAAAGCGCATCATTGAGAGGGTTTGTCCACACGGATTTTGACGTAATTCTGTTTTTTTTTTTTTTGAGCAGCCTGGACTTGCATCTGTTCAGAATCGATTAAATTCAATTGAGCTGGAAAATCAACACATGACTGTGCTACGGCAGATGTAAAAAGTCTTCACAACGTTGTTCATATGTCAATTTTTTTATTTGTGATATTCCAAAACTTCTGTCTGATTGGTTGTTTTTCCTCGTGTGCGGTGGTTTACAAGTCAAAGCCAAAGGGTGATTTTTTTTTTCTTTTTTTCCCACAGATCAACCAGGTTATACTTTTATTTATTTATTCATACAAAAGAGAGCTTATTTATCGACTTCAATGAGTTGTCAACTCACAAAACAGTTTTTCCTCGCAACTTTTTCTGGCAACTTTGACCAGAAAGTTCTACCAAACACGTGTTGTGTAAGCGTCGGTCAGCAAGTTCAGTTCCATCAATAATTCAAACAAACCACGTCAACTTTTCACGCTTCGTGAAACAATATGTCAATGTGGGCTGCACTTCTTAACCATTGAACATATGTAGACACTATATACATAAATGAATAAAATATACATACATAAAAAAAAATAATAATAAACCCAAACGACTGAAATGAAGCCCCCAAATTGCAGCCTTGGGAATTCGAAAGTGACATACCACTCCATTGCAATGTCAGTTTGGATTTAAGCGTTCAGCCCTCCGTTTCAGCAACGGGAACGTGTATTTATGCTATTAAATAGCAAACGCCTCCTTTAACTAGTTGCCGCTTCAGAAAACCGAGCACATATGAGCGCATTACATCTCGTGATGTCTACCTCTGAGACTTGCAAAGCTCGCAGGACCGAGCTTTCCGCCCACATGTTTACTCGCTGAGCATGGGATAAAGCCCACAGTCAGAAGTGGAAGTGACGTGTGGAATAATTACGCATCTAAATGAGCTGTTGAGGGCTCAGTATGAGTGACCTGAGAGGGCTGAGTCACACACAGACACACACACACATACACACAATTTCCGCACTTCTCAGTGACTGCACTTCATATCGTAGGTCATTGTTTGTCTTGCCCTTCGTACATTTAATCACGCATCCGTCCGTACATGAATCCATTCCTCTTTGCCATACGTGCGTGCGTGCACACACGCCCACGTTCACGTGCAGATCGACAGTATGCTGGCAGCTCCCTATCTGCTCATGCGGTACTGCGAAAAATTCTCGAGCCACCACTGTTTGTTGTTTTGTAATTTGATTTCGTAACGCATTAAATAGTAAGACGGATCCAGTTTGCAGGATTACTTTTTTTTTGGAGCATTTGACGTTTTTTTTTTTTTTTTTTTTTTAACTTGACTGCTTATTTTCTATTTGGCATTTCTTGGAGGAACTGTGAATACTGTACTTTATAATACTGTGAGAAATAATTCTTTTTGGCAAATGACATCTGACTTCAAGATGGCAGCCGCAAGAGTGTCTGCCTTTACAGCAGCTCCTCTACTTTTTGTTCTTCTACTTTCTTCCTTTCATAACTTTGCTGCTGTAAATTGGGAATTTCTCCATTGTGAGACGAATAAAGGTTTTCTTATCTTATTCTTTTCAAAAGTTTGTATCTTGCAATTTGATATTTTCTTTTTTTTTTTTTTTTTTTTACATGACTGACCATCACGAGAGTCTACCTAAAATTATTAGGGCACCGATTTTTTTTTTCCCGCTTTCCCAAGCTGAAGCCATTCATCAAGCCAACTCGTTTTAAAGACATAGAGGACATCAAAAAGTCCGTGACAGGAGAGCCGCTGATGATCTCGGAAGATTCCTTCCGAAAGTGCACCAAGGCTTGGCAGAGAGGACTGGGAAAGTACGTCAGACTCTGGGACAACTTGAAAGTGGAGAACTTGTCGTTTATTTTTTGAAATATATCTTTGGTGACAAAAGTCCTGGAATTTTTCGGACTCGCCTTGTACTTTTGTGAGCCTGCAACGATGCACCTGTCAAAATTAGACCAGGAAGTAACCACTTTTCAGATCAGTCCAGCATTGTTTGTGCCATTCTAGCAGTCCAGCGTTGGTTCATTAGAATTCCCAAAACAACATCTCTAATCAGACTTTTGCGCGGTAACGTACGTCGACCCAACCGAGCATCCACGCATGCATGCATCTCACTATCCATTCGACCATGCACGCGTCCATCCCCACGTGATGCGCTCGCTCGCAAGTCCATTAGCATCCTGTGCCATCAGGACTCAAACAAGGTTCTCCCAATTGATCTGTCATCCGAGTCGGACGACTTTTAATTGGCGGGCGTAGAATGCGAAGCCGCCCAAAATGTCCCCGTAGCTCACTCACTAATTATAGACTTCCTGCTTGAGTAATCGCACGTCTTATTGTTTCCTAATTACCATTTTTACAATAAATTCAACGCCGCGCCGCTGTTAGACAGCCACACATCGGTGCATCAATACTGTCATGTGCACACAAATCCACAGAGGAAAACGTCACCCTCGCACCCACCCCAGCCGTTTTTCACCGATGCAGCTCATTATTATTGTTTGTTCTCATTGCAACCGTAGTTCAGATGCGAATACGATGCCGTGTGACCGCGAAGGCCCTTGGAACGACTCAAAATATGTCATAATACCAATGGCCGTTCATTCAGCATGCAAATTTGCATCGGTAAATATTCCACCGCGTGCCGAAGGGATTCGACTCTTAAAACCACACAAAAATAAAAGTAGCATCGGCGGCAGCAGAATAATTGTATGGCGGCGAAATCTAATTGAGCTAAGATTTGTAAGCAGGTCTCCTGCAAAGGTGAGAAAACATCATCAGTCTTAAAGTAGATGCTGCACGGGAAGGGGGAGCAAGGTGGGGGGAGGGGGGGGGTTGGTATACGTCGCCCAGCTGAAAGCGCAGCGTGAAATATTTCTTCCCTCTACCAGAGAGACAGAGGGGGAGTTTTTGGCAGTCGGCTTCTGTCACTTCTGTCACACCTTATTTGAACGGAAACTGATGCGGCGTTCTATTAAAAGACAAACATTGGTGCGCTTTTTCCGCAGCAGACGTTGTTGAACCCAGTTCCAGTCGACTTGACTGCGGTGTTGCGAGGAGACGGCATTCTGTAGAGTGAGAAGCCCTGGGCCAGTATTTGAGAACCACTAATCCAGATTAAAACCCCCCACCTTCCATTTTCTTTCACCGTTCCCTTTCTGTGGCAAGAGAAATATACGATTTCAACAGATGTCATCAGCTTGGGCGTAGCGCAAACTGTCTTATCGTGAAACGTGGGGTTTGATGTGCCAATTGCTTTAAGATTGAAGTCGATGAGAATTTGGACGACGCGGCGCGCTCGGCTTTACCGCCGCAAAATCCTCCTTTCATGGTTGCCCGAGTTGAGGGGTGATTTTGTGGTTCTTGAAGTAATAGGCCTATTTTAACCAACGCATGCAAAGAAGATGTACCCGGCGAGATGCGCAGAGACGAACCTTTATTTCACCCGGAGATAAACTCGGCACAATACATCCCCGCATACGAATGCGATGCCGAAAACACTGGCGGCGCTTTCATAAGAGGAGCGTTACCTTCACAATAGTCACAAAGGGAGGCCCGGTGGTTGGCGCCAAACGATCCGACGTCGTCTTGGCCGTGGCCGAGGGGTCGGGGACAGATGCGTTCTTGCTCGCCATGTAATCCAGACCGTACCCAAAGGCCTGAATGGCGTTTCCTGGAAGAGACGCACATGAGCGGCTCGTGACGACGGGAAACCGTTTCGCCCGCCCGATCTTTGGCAAGCGACGTGACGAGGTAGGCGTGTGACGAGGGAGCGACGAGGACGACGGCGAACCCAAAAAAAAAACCCGTTTTGATTCGTCGGTGGGATTAAGAGTCGCATGCCAAAACTCATCAATAACAATCTGAGATTTGTGTTTTAAAAGCTGTCACCAGGGGAGGCCGCTCAGGATTTTTCCTCCTGCGGAATAGCAAGCGCTGGCCTGCGTTCAATAATCAAAGATGCGCCCTCCTTATGTAAGTGTTCATGTAGTCAATTTAACTTTTCGGCAAAGAAAATCCTCAGGGATTCAAACAGACACGCTCATCCAATCTTTGGTTCGTGTCCTCCCGCTCAATAAGGGAGCTTTAGCGCCGCTCGGCCGACAGCAAACGGACACAATTGCAGCGACGCGCCCACACTTGGAGATGATGAACCCCAATTTGTTTGCCGATCAATGCGCGCACCAAGAAATGGGATCCTTTTAAAACAAGCCAATCAGTCGGCTCTAACAGGGGCAGCATTAGCCTGTGAATGCGTATGTGAGGTGCTTCTTCGCCTTCGGTGCATTTTGTTGTGTCTAAGCACATGTGCGAGACGCTGCAAGAATGCGATAAACTCCCGTTCAGTCGGCTTTTCAGACACGTGGCAAAATAGTGGCGGCCTACCTTTTTTTTCCCGCTTCTCAGCCGTTGAAAGCGCCACGCTTTTGTCTCTTTGTTCACCCGGGAGGAGAGAAGGCATATAATTGCTTGGCAACCACCTCCATTATAAGGTCAGTTTGGAGAGATGACTTTGAATAGATTTTATACCACTGATCAAATTCAAAACGGCGCAGAACAAAAAGGTGAAACGGTCCCACGCGTCTAAGCCTGCTGGACATCAGCATTTAGAGATCTTCGTGTTTTACACCAATGTGATACTGGGAAGCTACTTACTTAACATGCATACATGCGCTGGATGCCACATGAGGACCATTGATGTGCTTCCCTACAAGAGCTGTAGCCCCCCCCAAAATGATCATGATCCTGTCTTGGTGGTTTTTCGGTGTCCGACCAGCGTGGAGGGCGTTCCCTCCAGAGCAGCACTGGTCGCTAGGCTTCCTCGTTAACCAACTGCCGATTTAAACTTTGCCACGCCGACAAGTGGCTGTCGGATTATTTGGCCTTGCTCACGACTCTTGTCTCCAAGCGCCTGTTTATTCGAGACCAGTGGTTCTTAACCTTGTTCGAGGTACCGAACCCAACCAGTTCATATGCACATTCACCGAACCTTTCATTAGTGAGAAACAGAAATATGACATTTTACAAATTCGAGACATAAAAAGCGCATTTATTAAAAACGACAGTCACACGTTGACTATTGAGCGAGCACTGATTGGACAAGCAATGTCATGTGATCACCTGCAGCCAGTGATGGCTAAGCGGGCGTGTCATAACTAATTGACATGTTGAGTTGGGTATGTCTTAACCTCCGTGGCAGAGGCTCCGTCGAACCCCTGAGACCGATTCACCGAACCCCTCGGGTTTGATCGAACCCGGGTTAAGAACCACCGTTCTAGACGTTCTTGACTTTTTGCCCCATAGCTTCTCACCACTAAGTATATTTTTTTTTCATGGAAGTAATTCTGGTTGTTTATTCTCGGTTTGTATTTCTCGTGAATTGGATTTTCTTGTCCTTTCAGTGACAAGCAATTTACGTTTATCTTGTTCCTTGCCTTTTGCAAGTGTTTTCGGTTTGTTTCACTTTTTCCTGGTTTGTTGCCTTTCGTTGGACTTTGTCCGTCCTGGGTTTTGTAAATAAACCTCTCTGTCAAATTATTATCTGAGTCCACGCTTATGGAATCCCAATTCTGAGCGAGGCTTTCCGTAAACCTGACAAAAATGCATCAAATAAAAATGTGCTCGTCCGAAGATTATAATGCTCACTTTTGATTGACAAAAAGAGATTTTTAAAAGATCGAGAGAGAATAGTATTCATTTAATTTTTCTCATATTGTGCTGGTAAATACAGAGAACCATTTGGAATATTTTGCCCTGATAGAGCAAAATAAGGTAACCAACCAAAATAAGTTTGACACAGCCACCAACAAGCACATCAATAATATGAATTTACAAGAATACCTCTCGTGAGTAACTGCGTTATTTGCGGGTGTTTTATTCTGATTTTAATTTTTTCGGGGGGTTTTACATGCTCTTTACTGTCCTTCGTTGCCTGTGAAGCACATTGAATTGCCTCTGTATCTGAAAGGTGCGATAGAAATAAAGCTGCCTGGCCCTTTGTGCACCATTACATCGTTAGTTGCTAGAGATGAAGTCAAGCCAAATGCTAAAACATATTTCTTCGCGGTGTACAGCTCGCTTGCTCCCTACAGTGGACGTTCCCAACTCGTGTGCCATGGGAATCATCGAGGGTGCTGCGGGAAAACGATCCAATAAATAGTCTGACAAGTCTATCTTTGTTCATCTTTCTTTGCCAGCGACGCACAGTGATAAGCAGAATAATTGAATGCTCTTCCACAAGATGGCAGAAGGTACAAAAAAAAGCTTTTTATCCATCTGTTCCTAATCATACATCGGAAAAAGGCGTGTCATCCCGCGAGCAAATCAGCTTTGCGTTTCAATCAGAGGGGCCCGGATTTGTTTTGAATTTTTCATTGATATATTTTTTTTAATGTCAAACGGTTGTCTTGGCTTTATAAAGGTTGAGAAAAACTGCCACGCGGATGCTCTCGGAGAAGGCTATTCAGTCATACGTGAAACCGGCAGATGACTACCGGTACCTCGCATGCCAATTGAAGACCGAAAAGTACGTTGAAATGGGAGCCAATTGTCGTACATTTTGCTTCACCGACCATCTTTCACATTTAGCCGCCATTGCACAATTGGATGCGATATAAACGAGTACATTGATACTCCATCCTTGGATTGCAGTCGCTATTACAAACGCAGCATTGTGTATTCTCTCCTCCCCGGTGTGTCGGAAGTTTATCGCTCGTTCCCCTCGACTGCAGGGAGGGCGGAGGGGAGGGGGGGAAGCTGCGTTTTAGGAGTTATTTTTCAAGACGCCTCCTCAGCTCCGAGCCTCATCCCTCATCCTGCACATTCAGCAAAAAGGCAACCCCTGTAATCTATTGAAATGGTCTGAAAGCATTTTACCCACACGGTGAGAACACGTTCAAGGTGTCGCATAGCACCGAGCGCCGTATCAAGGAAGGATTTTTTTTCCCGCTCGCGACTGAAAGCGACGCGAGGACGTTTGAGCGAGCCACCTTGTCGAGCTGCAGCCTCCGTCTTCTTGAGCGGGAGATGTACAGAAGATATGTATTATTTAATTCTCTGCCTGGGATTTGTATGACACGTTCCTCCCCGTAAGCGATAAGCCTGAGATTGCTCGTGTGAAAATGACATGCAAATGGTTTCTTTTGTGTTAAGGTCCGGGCAAGATGTGGCTCGAAGGAAGGATGAGCGGAGAAAAGAAAGTGACATCTTTCTGACAAACTTAATTCACTAATTCCAACTTAATCAGCTGGCAAAGACATGTCTGTTGAAGTTGAGTGAAACTGTAGAGCTGACAAATTTGATTACGTCTTGACGTTACATTAATCTCCTCCCCCCACCGGCCCCCGCTTAGCCTTTCCAATGTACTGTATTTTCTCAGAGTCGGTCTATGATAAATGCCAAGCATCAATTTGTCATCAGATGGATATTCGACTTGAATAAATCAAGGCAGTGGCTGAAGAGTTGCCTTCTTTAACCCTTTCATGCACCCTGTAACCTGATAACATGATGAGCCGTCCACTGTGGTAACCGCCGTCCCTGAAAGGGTTGATTTTATTTAGTATAATTTTTTTTTTTTTTAAAGCTTTGCAATGACTGATACGGGGCAGCAGGGTGGACGAGTCGTGAGCACATCTGCCTCATAGTTCTAAAGTTCTGCGTATGAATCTTTCCTGGCTGTTCCAGGACTGGTGTCACAAACCCAAAATTACGAACGTTGAGTTTCTCCCGCCATTGTTGGACAGACAATCAGTGCGCAAGAAGAATTCAGAGCTGTGATAAGACAGGATCTTATATCACCCGCAGTCAGTTTCTTGCTAAGTCATTCACCGCTAACCAATTTCCCTGAAGCTTCATTCCAACTTTGGCTTTTTTTTTTTTTTTTGCCTTGGCTGGGCCAGCGTTTCCACGCGCCACCCACGTGGCTGATTTCAGTGCGGAGGAGCGTACGCAACCCGACTTTAATTTGCTCATGCGCCGCGTGAGTCGAGTATGAGTTAGAAAGCATTTGAGGAACGTGGGCTCACTCAGGCAAGTGTTGTCGGTGAAGCTCTGCAGGAAGTTGGCACACTCCTCTTCCTGGTTGCCGCTGCCCTTGCAGGTGCACCAGGGCGAGATGGTCCAGTGGCTGAAGCTGCTGTCCACGTAGTTGGGTGTCATGTCCGTCCCTGCGAATACACGTGCGCGCACAAGCGCATCCAGACACATCCACGCATTAGGATGAACATCTACGGGTCACTAATGGACAATAATGGCCGACATTTATTGCAAATAGTTTCCGGAAAAACGCAGCGACGTGGGAACGCCACCGTCCTGTTTGAGTCGTTATTGGAAGCCAGCGCTCGTTGTAATACTTCATTTTCAATGTAAAGAGGCCATTACGCCGATGAATATTTTGGCATAGCAGGCGCTTTCGCGAGCGCCGTCGGAGGAGAACAGCGCTGCGGCAAAACACTTCACTTTTGAAAGGTCTGTCAGCAGGAGTCAGCCATGTCATCCACTTTGTGTGAGCAGCGTGACTTATCTCCTCGCCGTGTGCAGTGGATGCGCCCATGCAACTTGGGCGCCGGAAAAAAAATATTTCAGTTTTGCACCGCGTCTAATCTCCGACGAGCCCGGACGTCATCACCAAGGTGCCGTTATCAAAATATGTATGCATTAGCCCGCGCGCATTGTTGGAGCAACATTTAATATGAGCAAACAGATGGTCATCAAGTCTTTTAATTAAGTCAACACTCTCTCTGTGCCTCCCTAATTACTTCTAGTAGTAAACTGATGGCCAGGCCGCTGGGGGAGATATCCGTAGCCGACGGGGGAAAAGCTGACAATCTCACTCCTCCGCCTGCTCCACAGGATAAAAAAAAAAAAAAAAAAAGAAGAAACGAAGACAAGAGCACTGCAGCGGCGTTTCTTCCTCTCTAGACCACAAAACCGTCTTCTGTAATCTCGCAGCACTGCTGACATTTGTGAAAAATATTGTGAGATCTCCCAGCAGGTCGTTCCTTTTCGCTCTCTCTTTCCCTTCAGACGCGTTCTCACTCCATCACAGTGATACTGACCGATGAGCCTTGTGTAGGAGGCCAGGCAAGCTTGGTGATTGTCTTGGTTGGGACAGGTGCTCACTGTGGGTGGGATGTTGCGGCAATTTGCCATGAAATCAGCCAGCCTGGATCTGCGCAATAGAGACAGAGAGCGAGCGGATACAAAGAAAAGTGGTCACAAACACAAAATATCCACCACGTGAATTCAAAAATGAGTCAGTGAGGCTGCGTCATATGCCGTGGAAGTGACCTGTGCCAAAATTATATCTGTGGCACCAATGTTTTTGTGTCTCCCTCGTGACTCAGAAACAGTATTATTTTCTTCTTATTGTCATTATTACTATTTTTTTTATGATTATTTTTCACTCTCTTGACATGCACCACAAACCGGGCAAGAATTACTTGATGCACGATGAGAGCGTCATGCTTCCTTTTGACCCGTTCTTCAACGATTATCCCTCACATCTCAGAGGTTTCCCCCAAATTGACTCTGGGCGCTAACCTTGGGTACTGATAAAAAGTGTTCCGTTTTATTTTTTGGTGGTTGTTGTTGTTGTTTTTTTTGGTGTGTTTGCGATAAGAGCTTTAAGTCTGCCGAGGCCCCCAGGGTGGCATTGCTAATCCACTTAAGTAGGTTTATTGGGAGGAGCGTGTGCAAAGTTACTCTGTCTGTGCTCCTCACATCACTGCTGCCCACTCCGTGAATCACAAACCATTTTTTTTTTTCTCTCTAGTTCTTCTTCTGACCGCTTCCTAGAGCCTCTTTTTACGCTCGGCTCCGCGGTGGATTTTAAGCAGCTATATACCTAACGCAGGTAAATTTGAATTAGTGTACGAACTGAATAAATATAAATTATGCCTACGCAGACACGCCACAAAATAGTGAGCAATATAGTGATGTTCAAAACAAGAGCTGTTTAAAAAACAAAAAAAACAAATCTACCTTCATAAAGACAATCATGCCCAGATATGATTGATGCTATGAAAGCGGAATTAATTTAACAATACGGTGACTATACAGAAAGCTAATATTTTCACTGCCTCACTTTATCATATGAGAAAGACCCAAAAATTACGGACAGGTATGGAAAATATAAAAGCAGTATGTTGCCAAACTGTTTTTAAAATGCATCAAAATTCCCTTCGATGTCTTAGATGAGTTATGGCAATATATGATTTTGTCGGCAAATTCAGCATAGCTAATATATTCATTTAACTGCAACGGGAGACATTCTTTTGGAGAAACTTGCCTTGGGATTTATGCATGCCAAAAAAAAAAAAAAAATCATACAGGCACAGCATAGCTGGAGAAGAGTCCAGTTTGAATTTTATACAGGGCTCAAAAAACATCCAGTTGCAGCAACATTTGGAACGTGACATCAGCTAATCTTGAGAGATTTCTTCAAATATGATGCTAAAGCACGACAGTCTGCATCAAAAATGTTTTTTTTTTCTTTTCTATGACTTTGCAAGACCACCACAGAAGGTTGCCAATGCTGTCCAAGTATGGTGAAGACCTCAAACATCAACTTAGCGCGGCGGAAGGACCAAACAGGTCTGTGTCCTGGCTACTCGGTACAATACCGTGACACAAAGGCTCAGTTATCAAGCTTCAGTTCCGAAAACATTCTTCTCCCTCTGCATCTACGTCCCTCGTCAGAGTTAATGATGCGGAAACTAGTTTTGCATTTGTGTGGCAGTTAAAAGCAATATAAACAAACAAAGACTCCAAAACAAGGGCTGAGTCTCATGCTGTGCTGAAAGCCAACGAATAAAATGGGTGTGAAGGCGGGTTTTAAAAAAGGACACTGAAGCTTTTCTAATGCACACCGGGGAGGCCGTTCCATATTTTCGGAACAGCTAGAGAAAAAGCTTTATCTTCTCTGAGCTTCTGACTGAACTTGTTACCTCCCGGGAGCAGCTGGTCAGCTCACCTGAGGCAAGAAAGAGTGTTGGGATGGAAAAAGCTTCGAGGGGAAAGGAAGACCATGAGGAGATTTGAAAACAAATAGAATCCTAAAGTCAACTCTTCCGTGCACAGTAGAGATGTTTGATACCACTTTTTTTTTTCCCCCCAGACAGATACTAGTATGAGATATCATTTTCAAGCACTCACCGATACAGAGTACCTTTAGTCATTTTAATATGTAAAATCGCATTGGTAAAAAAAGTCTGATGATGATGATGTGTCAAACCGCCGCAGTTTAGCGCCAACTACGGCAGAGCAGGACTTATCCGATATCTGCCTTATTATTTTGCCTAAATATGGCTGCCTCTGCGATTACCTTAAAATAAGGCCAGCATCGGCTCAATATTGAGACCTGGTAATCGGTATTTGCCCATCCCGAGAGTGCGCAGACAACCAGTGGAGGGAGGAGGAGTTCCAATTTGTGCTCCCTCTTTCGTGTTCCAGTTAAGAGGTCAGCAACAGCATTTTGAACCCCCAAATTTCAGTTCATACAGTTTTTAGACTGGCGGCAGGTCTGCCTCCTAGTGTTGAGTTTTAATCTCCGCTTTAGCATGTTCTCGCCATGCCTAATGAGGGTTTTCCCTCTGGTTTATTTGGCTTTCTCCCACATTTCAAAAACATGCTGAAGATGGTAATTTGCCCATACATGTGAATGAACGTGAGTGCGAACGGTTGAGCATCCGATGGTGACCCGTACCTCGCCTCTGCCACAAAATCCGCCGCGGCAGACTCAGCCGGATGGAAGAGCCATTTCCTGTCTTGAATTGTTTTGAAATATGACCAATTTGACTATTCCCAGCATTCTTGATTGTGTTTGACTTGTACTTCCTCCGAAATTATCCCGCGGTCCTGCTGTTCCCTTCCATTACCCAAATACAAATGACTTTTATCGTTACAAAAAACCCCGCTGTCTTTACGGAGCGTTTTAACCAGCACAGCCATCCGAGCTGAACGCTTTATGCTTCACTTATGGCTGATTTTTTTTTTTTTTCATTTGTTTTGCTGTGCAGCCAGTGTAGACAAATGGAGCCTCATGTGTGTTGAGGGGACAATATCCTCTTTGTTGATGTCTTTTACGTGGCCGTCTCAGAAGCACACCTCACAAAAGGGAAATCTTATCACCGTGATGGTCTTTTCCGGGCCGCTTAATCATCTTAATGCCTCAAAACGGATGTGAAAATAATCACTTTGTGCACTGATACTGTGTGTACCCCCTGAAGACATGCTGCCTTTTAACAAATGCGATGAGTTCATTAGCGAGAGGGAATAAAAGAGATGAAAAAACGAAATGATGTGTTTCAAAATCCTGACCGGCGTGTGATCCATTTGTGGGATTCACACGGTCCTGTTGTGAGACTCCGAGAGATGAAGTAGGATTGAAACAATGCGCCATCGGATGCGACCGCCGCCCAAACGTTCCGTCACCTTTTTAAATATGCGTAGCAGCTGTATCACCTTCACGCGGTGCAACAGTGCTACTCGATCACGAATGCATCGCCGTGTGGCTTTTCCAGACATTTCTGAAGCAGCTGGACCCGCTTTGATGAATAATGAGCCCTCTGGTGCTGATGCGGAGCCACCCGGTGCCATCAGCAGAGGGAATATTGTCATTCGTGGAAGTCCGTGAGGAGGATTCAGGCGGAAATAAGACGGGGTATTTAAAGGGAGAGCCCTTGTGGTGAGTTGAAGACAAGTGTGTGCACCGTTACGCTTCATCCTAAATCTGTGGGTAAAAAGTGGACACAAACGGATTTGTTTAGGGAGGATTATGGGGGTGAACAGGTGAAAGTGTGTCCTCCTTTCGGCTTTTCACTGGAGTGTGGTATGATGTGACGGAGAAACAAAAAAAAAAAATCGATATCCAACTGCATCTCCGTTGAGCGTCCTAACAAATCACCTTCAGAGTTTGCAAACAGCCGCTAATTTATTCATTCATTAGGGCTCCTGCAAGCTCGGCAATATGCTGTCCCGATGCGTTGAGCCGACGGGCTGAACCATTGTTTTTTCCGCCAATACTGCCACTGATGTCACATTTAAAGCGACGTGGAATCGAATTTGGAATGAAACGGAATCAAATTTGTCAGTGCACATGCATAAGTACCGAGCAACGAAATTCACTCCACCGTTACAACGCATCCAAGATGCATCCAAAATAACGACCAACAGAGGGACACAGAAAGAAGACGCGTGACGAGTCGCCCGGATTTTCTTAGATGAAAAAGGAAAACATAAGGTATAGGCGTGGGGGGGGCGGGGGTGGGAATAGAAGTTCCAGGCTTTGCCCTTTTAAGGGAGGGGCACCGTATGGGTTGCAAACAGCCGCTAATTTATTCATTCATTAGGGCTCCTGCAAGCTCGGCAATATGCTGTCCCGATGCGTTGAGCCGACGGGCTGAACCATTGTTTTTTCCGCCAATACTGCCACTAATGTCACATTTAAAGCGACATGGAATCGAATTTGGAATGAAATGGAATCAAATTTGTCATTGCACATGCACAAGTAGCGAGCAACGAAATTCACTCCACCGTTACAACGCATCCAAAATGCATCCAAAATAACGACCAACAGAGGGACACAGAAAGAAGACGTGTGACGAGACGCCCGGATTTTCTTAGATGAAAAAGGAAAACATAAGGTATAGGCGTGGGGGGGGCGGGGGTGGGAATAGAAGTTCCAGGCTTTGCCCTTTTAAGGGAGGGGCACCGTATGGGTTTGGAAAAAAAACCCTCTGCCTAGCAAAATTCAGATGTGAAGCATGACCGTGATAAAGAATTTGACAAATTGATCTGTGCCTCTGTGAGTTTTAGTTTTAGAATATATATTTTTTTCCATCTTTATGATTCACCAGTTGGTATGATTAATACCCTTGTAATCAATATTTACTCTTCGAATGAATTCATCACCTTCAAAATTGCTGAAAACTCACCATGCTCTACCCCGGTGAAATCTATTTATTTTAGGAGTCTAGGAAACAACCTCTCAAGACACATTGAGTCGCGCCCCCGGAGAGTTGGAGGGGGGAGGGGGGCCCCAAGATGAGTTTCACAAATCAATGCAAAAGTTGCTCTACATATAACAAGTGGAACAACAAAGTCGCAATGCCCCCATGCCTGGAATTGAACAGGAAGTACTTTTGCAAACTCATACAAGGGAATTTGCCC